GTGACAGCATTTATTCTTCATTTGTCAATGAAGGTACCTTAGGGTACCTTAGGGCCAAATTTTTGGTTGTGCCAGCCTGGCCTCGGGGTCAGAGCACACCAAGATGTAACACTTTAGCTGGAACCTGACAGACAAGCAGATGTTAGCAGGTTCAGGAGGCAGGTCCCTTAGTGAAGCATGAGCATGACTGTTCCTCTCCCTGCAGAGCATGCATGCAGGGCGAGTCCCTGGAGGTCTGGAGAGAGCCAGGACAACAGTTAAATGATAGGGAAAGTGAGGTAGGGTGCAGAGGAAATGTCAGAATGATTAGCCTGTGATTTCAGTAAAGAATGTGGAATGTGATTGTGCAGAGTGTCTAAAAAGCCTGGAAATACAGGGAAATGTCTCGTATACCTTTTTCAGATAGGTACAATTAATGAATCAGTGGGGCTTTAAATTTAGGATTATTTTATCTGTAAAAGGTATCTGATCATATTGTTTGAAAATATTGTTTAAATTTTAAAAATCCCCCTGTATTTTCAGACTTTGCCAATTCCTTTATAGTCTGAGAGGGAAGGAAAAAAAAAAGACGTTAATTAGATTTTTAAAGAGTGTCCTGAACTATAAGGATTGTCATTTACATAAAACGTGTTCCAAACCCACACGCCTGGCTTCCTTACCGCTGCGGCCCTGGAGCAGGCCCCGCCTCCCATGCAGCCTCCTGCTCGCCTCTGCGCCTCCTCCTCTGCTCCAGGCGGGTTCTTCACACACCAGCCGTGATCTCAAACACCCAAACCCATCACTCTCCATCCTGGGGTCTCCATGCTGTGGTTCTCTCTACCCAGGACACTCTGGCCTTGTTGCCTCTCGTGCATACTTCATTCAGGTCTCTGCAGAAGTGTTACCTTCTCAGGTGCCATTTCCCTCACCAACCCATGACCTCCCCCAACACTGGCCTCTCTATATCCCTTTCTCCTCTCTTTCTTAGAGCACTGGTTGTTTATTGTGAAATCTGTTTGTTGTCTGTCTTCCTCACTGGAACGTGAGCTCTGAGGGCAAGGAAGTCCTGTCTTCCCTGGCATGTAGCAGGTGCTCAGTCAGTGTTCAGGAGAATGAATGGCTGAGCTTACATTGGAACCTTGCAAAGGAAGCTCCTTCAGAATGAGGTTTGGTGGCCGCTGTCCTAAGATAGATTCAACTAGTCTTCCCTGTGGTAGCAGAACTGGGACAAGATGGCTTCCTTAAAAGGACCTTCTGCATCAAGGATCAAGGCCCAATTGCCTAAAAGAAATTCCTAGATGTTATGGAGTTGGGTGTGGGGAGAACATTACTAGTCTGGAAAAGGAACAGGTCATTACTGACTTGGAAGTCTCAGAGATGGCAGCTCGCAAACTGGGCACGATGATGGGCCCCTGTAATCCCAGCTACTTGGGAGGTTGAGGCAAAATAATTATAAGTTCAAGGCCAGCATGGGCAACCTAGCAAGACCCTGTCTCAATATAAAGAATAAAAAGAGGGCTGGGGATGTACTCAGTGGTAGAGTGCTTGCCTTGCATGTACAAGGCCCTGGGTTCTAATCCGCAGCACCACATTAAAAAAAAAAAAAAAAAATCTGCCCCTGGGGTGGACTCAGCAACATATTGAAGGCAATAAATGAAGAAAAAAGAATTTAAAAAAAGAAAAGAAAGGACCAGGGATGTAGTTCAGTGGTGGAGCACACCACTTTCAATCCCCAGGATCACAAAAAAATAAATTTAAAAAAGAGATGGCAGCTCTCCTGATGCACAGTATCTTCTTCACTCTGCAAAGTGACTCCTCCTACCCTTCATCATGGATTGCAGATTCTGGCCCTGCCCAGGAACTGGTTATAGTCCTCTCTCTCGTTCTCATGCAGGTACTGTGTGGTCTTACTGACTGCCGAGGCTCCCAAGTTGAGCAGACCCTTCGAGGCCTTCCTGTCCTTTGCCCTGGCAAACACGCAGGACACCGTGCGGTTCGTCCACGTCCACAGTGGGCGGCAACAGGAGTTTGCCCGCACCCTGCTGCCGGACAGCGAGGTGTTTCAGGGGAAGTCAGCGGTGAGCCACGGATTCTCTCCTGACCCAGCCCCTTCACAAGCACTGCCCTCGCTTCCGTTTCCTTCTTTCTGGGGGACGTTGACTACAGATTCCAAAAATCTGGAACCTTCCGGGCCCTGTTTTGTAAGGCTACCCTGACAACAGTCTTCCACGTGGTCATTTCACCTCCTAGAGGTCAGCCTAGGCCTCCACAGACGGCATCTCTCCTACGAGTAAAGGTTAAGGTACATCGGTCCATCTCATCAGGTTGCCCAGATCTGGTCTGCAGAATCCAAGATGCCAGATTTTACAAACCCGTAGGCACTGATGGTACTCCTGGCAACTTCCCCCGCCTTCTGCCTTTTCCGCTTCATCCTAATGGATTTCTCCTTTTTCCCTCTTCTCCAGAAGCATGAAGTTCTCCTCTTGGAGATGTAGCTAGTGGTAGAGCATTTACCTAGGCCCTGGGTTCCATCCCTTGCACTGGGGGAAAAAAGAAATTCTTCTCTGTCCTCATTTTGGTAATCATGAAAAAATTGTCTAAAAAAACTAAGGTTTTGGGGACTGGGGCTGGGGCTCAGTGGTAGAGCGCTTGCCTAGCATGCGTGAGGCACTGGGTTCGATCCTCAGCACCACAAACAAATACATAAATAGATTAATTAAATAAAGGTTCATTGCCAACTAAAAAAAAAAAACACTAAGGTTTCATTTATTAAATTATAGAACGAAGCCTATTGAGGGGGAAGAAAGAGCTTTAACTTTTGACAAAAGCTTTGAAAATTCACCATGAAAATGATTCTTCTGGGAGCTGAGCCAGAAGAATGACTTGAACCTCAGAGTTCACAGCCAACCTGAGCAACATAATGAGACACCTGTCTCAAAAAATAACAACAGCTCCTTTTATGAGAAAGATTTCAATCTCTTGCAAATATTTTAGACTCTTTAGCATTTATGTTTGAGCCTACTGTGACTTCTCTCATCCATTCTCCCTGCAAAAATACAAACGACTATAACTTATGATGCTTTTGAGACTTCTCATGATATTTCTCTCCTTGTCTCCCAGGTGTCTATTTTAGAAAGACGTAACACGGCAGGAAGGGTGGTGTATAAAACCCTGGAAGATCCCTGGACTGGGAGTGAGAGTGATAAATTTATCCTTTTGGGTTACCTCGACCAACTGCGGAAAGATCCAGCTCTTCTGTCCTCTGAGGCTGTGCTCCCCGACCTAATGGACGAGCTTGCTCCCGTGAGCATCATCACCAGGGAGGGTGGGCTGCCAGGGGGCCCATGGGCTGCCAGGGCCAGCGACTAAGTCCTGCTAAGAGCAGAGTGTCACAACAGCTCAGTGCTGTGGGGTGGGGACCCTCCTCTGGTCAGTGCTGACCATGTCCATTTTCTCCCTTGATAGATCTTTCTCCTCCGGTGGCTCTACTCTGCCTCTGACTACTTGGCCGACTGCTGGGACGGCATATTCCATAGCAACTGGTAGGAATGATGCTGGGATGGGGTGCCCTTCATCTGCTGATACCGGCGTCACCCATTTTCTTTTGGAAAGAGCCCATCCTCCCTTGAGTTCTATTTCTTTCTCTTTTTTAATTGCAGAGCTGTGGATTGCACCCAGGGGCACTCTACTACTGAGCTACATCCAAAGTCTTTTTCACTTTATTTTGAGACAGGGTCTTGCCAAGTTGCCTCAGCCTGATGTTCTCTGGGATCACAGGCGTGCACTACCATGCCCGGCCTACTTTGATTTCAGTGTGCACTTAACATAGCAAGTGGAAGAACTTTTACAGTTTCCATTCACTGCTCACCTGCTTGCTTTCAGCAACTTCACTTTTTTAAAAATTTGTCAATGAACCTTTCCCATTGGCTGGGAAAAGATGACCCACTGCCCTTCCAGAGAGCAGAGCTAGGACCTGGCACGTGGAGTCCGTTTGCAGGTGCACCAGTGAAGCAGCGCAGTGGGCACACACAGCAGGATGCCCACGCTGCCTCTCCTGAAGGGCAGAACTACCTCGAATTCACACTTCTAACTCCTGGCACCCAGCAGGGCCCCCTGAAAGATGGCATGCCCTTGGTGGGTGTTGCAAGAGCATAGAGTTTTAGAACAGCAGCCCTGGGGGAAATCATGAAAAACCATCATTCCCTCCCTGCTCCATGCCTTAACCCCATCTGGATTATTCTTTCTTTCTACCTATCTGTATATATATATATATAGATATATAGATATATATAGATATGGAGATATACACACACACACACACACACACACACACAGAGATATAATGGGCTGGGGCTATAGCTCAGCATAGAGCACTTGCCTAGCACTTGTATGGCACTAAGTTTGATCCTCAGCACCACATAGAAATAAATGAAGGTTAAGAATATATAATAAATATGTAAAATATACACATATAATAAAGTTGAGATCATTCCACAGCCATTTTAATCACTGATATCTCAGCATCAGAAGGTTGGTCCACATTTACAATTTAAATCCTTTTTATCCTGTCGTGTCCGCCACAGAGCTTCCTAAGCACAACCCATTATGCTGAGATCCCCAGTCAGACTTCCTGAATGAGCTGTTTGAATCAGGACTCGGAGGACCTCCCCCTCCCCGCCGCCCCAGAAGCAGCGCTGTCTGCTGGGATGACGGCTTCTGGGCTGGGTTGTTTCTTCTGAGAACTGAGAGAAGAAACTAAAGCCCGGCACCGCGCAGGCGCTCACCCAGCTGTGCTCTTGGTTTCAGGCGGGAGATGATGCCCCTCCTGTCCCTCATCTTCTCTGCCCTCTTCATCCTCTTCGGCACGGTCATCGTCCAGGCCTTCAGGTGAGTGCAGAGGGCTGCCCACAGCTTATGTGCTCTTTTTTCATAAAATTTCTTCTCATTGTTTTTCCCCACATTTTTTGCTGGTGCATTATTATTGTCATCATGTTGGGGGTCATCGCGTGTTCATTTATACATACAATATCCTTTTTCCTTCTTTAGTGACTCTAATGACGAGCGAGAGTCCCACCCTCCAGACAAAGAGGAAGCCCCTGAGAAGGTCGGGAAGACTGAGCCGAGCTTCACCAAGGAGAACAGCAGGTTTCTCCCACACCACCTCCGCTGCCCTGGGCGCCCGCCCCGCAGATCCCCGAGCAGTGTCAGGACACAAGTGTATAGAGTGGCTGGCTCCGCTCCTGAGTGGGAGATGGGAATACAGGTTGAGCGCCCCTGATTAAGACCCAGAATCTGAAATGATCCAGGATCTGAAATTTTTTAGCACCAACTTAACACCACAAGTAAAAAGTTCCATACCTGATTTGTATGACGGGTCATAGTCAAAATGCGGGTGCACCAGACACACAGTGTGACGTTCCCTCTGGGTTGTGTGGGTAAGGGGTACACAGAACATAGGTTAATTCCATGTTTGGATTTGGGTGTAACTGGGCACAGTGGCACACGCCTGTAATCCCAGCTGCCCGGGAGGCTGAGGCAGGAGGATCCCAAGTTTAAGGCCAGCTTCGGCAACTTAGTGAGACCCTGTCTCAAACAGTATAAAGGATTGGGGATGTGTATCAGTGGTAAAGCACCTCTAGGTTTAATCCCTAGTATTAAAAAAAAAAAAAAAAAAAAAAGCAGATTTGGGAGCTTGCCCTACGATATCTCATTATATGTATGCAAATATTTTAAAACATGGAAAAATCTAGGGCTGGGGTTGTGGCTCAGTGGTAGAGCACTAGCCTGGCATATGCAGGGCCCTGGGTTCGATCCTCAGCACCACATAAAATAAATAAATGAAGGTGTTGTGTCCAACTACAACTAAAAAAATTTTTTTTTAATGTGATGTTTATCTTTAATAAATAAACAAACAAACAAATAAATAAAACATGGGAAAATCTAAAACCTGAAACGCTTCGTCCTGAGTATTTCAGATGGAGGATACTCAGCCTATCCAGGGAAAGGCAGCTGCTGGCTCGTGTTCACTAAGACCTCCTAGGCATCTAGACATACGACCTACTTACTTTATGCCCTGGGACTTTGCTTTCTCAGTCACAGATGTAATAATGAAGGCAGGAAGTGAAAAAGCACATCAGGCCACGTACAGTGGCGCACACCTGCAATCCCAGTGACTTAGGAGGCTGAGGCCAGCCTCCTGGCCTCATAGGTTTGAGGCCTGTCTCAGAAAGTAAAAAGGACCAGAGATGTAGGAGTGCTTGCCCAGCACATGGGAGGCCAAAACTGCAACCCACATGTACACACAACCAGGAAGGTGGTAGATTACCCAGAAGCAGAGTGGCATGACACCATAATTCATAACAGTGTGGATGACTGATCTGTTGAGAGCACACAACCAACATCGAGGGACCTGGGTCTCTGCGACAAAGCAGACCAATGGCTGCCTCCGTAGCGCCACCCTTCAGCCTCGGGAGAAGGGCTGCTGTAGGCCAAGGGCTACTTACTAAATCAAGGTCGTCTTGTCCTGCCACATCAGAGTCGTTATTAAATAACGTGGTCTGGTTCAAATACAGCCTCTCAGCCAAGTGCAGTGGCACACATCGGTAATTCCAGCAGCTCAGGAGATGGAGGCAGGAGGATCCCAAGGTCAAAAGCCAGCCTCAGCAAATTAGTGAGCCCTAAGCAACTTGGCAAGACCCTGTCTAAAAATAAAAATAGAATAAAGGGAGCTGTGGACGTGGCTCAGTAGTTAAGCACCCCTGGGTTCAATCCCTGGTACAAAAAAAAAAAAGAACACAGTGTATCATTCAACCTGTTCCCTTTTAAAGTAGTGGCATCAGCTGCCCTGGTAACATCTTAACTTCTCACCGTTTCCCCACAGCAAGATTCCTAAGAAAGGCTTCGTGGAGGTAACAGAACTCACGGATGTGACATACACCAGCAACCTGGTGCGCCTTAGGCCAGGCCACATGAACGTGGTCCTCATCCTGTCCAATTCCACCAAGAACAGCCTGCTGCAGAAGTTTGCCCTGGAGGTGTACTCGTTCACTGGGTAAGCGCGGTGTGAGGAAAGAGAACCCAGAAAGGAAAAGACCTCAGCGGATCAGAGATACTTTGTGAAGCGGTGGAGGGGCACAGTTTCAAGAGGGAACTGGCACTGGCTACGGCCAAGGGCCGAGCTGTGTAGGGTTTATTAGCGCCTATCAGGGGAGGAGTTGGTCAGATACTTTTGGGGGTCACGGGAACCTGGGCAGATCTGGGAAATGACGAGAGGTCAGAGCCCTAAGTTTCCTTTTTCCTGAGGGGTTGTAAGTTTACCGCCTTCAAGGAGTCTGCGGGGGTGTGGAAGCCGCAGGGAGAGAGGGAGCAGGTGTGCACCTTTGGGTGAAGGGCCCCCGGGGACCACCGTGCCCACTCCTCTGTGGCTGTGGGCTTGATCCATGCAGCAAGGTCTTGGACACTTCGGGCCATCACGGGGGCCCTCTTTTCCCCCTCAACTTTCATGATCTCTCTGTTCAGAACAGAGCTTGAAATCCATGCTGCTCCCTGAGCCCTTCAGAAAACAGACTGTCCCCACCACTCTCTGAGCCAGCAATGGGTCGGGGCGGGTGAGTGAGACAAGGGACTGTCACAGGCCCTCGGCTTCTTCCTGTGTCCAGGCCCCTCCTTTTCCTGTCCTTTCCAGTCTGACTGGCGTGGGAAGCGCCCTGAGTCTGCCCCTTCTCCCCACAGCAGCAGCTGCCTGCACTTCTCCTTCCTGAGCCTGGACAAGCACAGAGAGTGGCTGGAATACTTACTGGAATTTGCTCAAGACGCAGCCCCGATCCCAAACCAGTATGACAAGCACTTCCTGGAGCGGGACTACACTGGCTACGTCCTGGCCCTGAACGGCCACAAGAAATACTTCTGCCTCTTCAAACCCCAAAAAACAGTGGAAGAGGAGGAAGCCATGGGGTCCTGCGGTGACCTCGACCCCTCCCTCCCCCTGGGCGAGTCTCGGGGGAGACCCTCCTGCGGCCTGGGACCCCGGCCCATCAAGGGAAAGCTGAGCAAGTTGTCCCTGTGGATGGAGCGCCTGTTGGAAGGGTCCCTGCAGAGGTTCTACATCCCCTCCTGGCCCGAGCTAGACTGAGAGGCTTCAAAAAGAGATGTGAACTCTCCAGCTTTTTAACATGCCCCAGGAACAGGTATTTTTCAGGACTCAGTCACCACGGACAAAGCATAGATTTTAGATTCCTCTTTTAGAACAGTGGTGGGAAGAACCTCTCCATCCGGCCCTCACTCCCGTCCTCACCTGGGAGGGAAACATGCTACAGGTTCAAATTCTCTAGATCAAAATATTTCCCTTTGGGTTTTTTGACTTCAGTTGAATGCCGCACTATTTAAATAGACTGCTCATTCCCTCCTCTTTGCTGCCCCTGTCCCGGGCTCACACCACCTGCCCCTTCCTGGCCCTTCATTGGAGAAACAGCGGCACCCAGACGGAACCTCAGGAGCCTGTCCCACAAGTCCAGTCACTTGCCCCTGCGCACCCTCAGGCCCACGCTGGCCCCTGCTGAGCTTCTGCCCAGGCGCATGCTCCCCACCCTGACCACCACCTTGCCTTCTCGGCCTGCCCCTTGAACGAGGCCTGGTGCCAAGCAGTCTCATGCACAGTGGTGGTTCTGGGAGTCAGTGGCAAGAAGTGCATCTTGCGGGGGATCCCCCACAGCAGTTTGCCAGCCACAGCTTTGAAAGGAAAGGGTCTAGTGGGGTCTCCGCATAGGAGCCTGTTTCCTCCCCAGCCAGGGGAAGGGAGGTCTGGGCAGCGGCTGGAGGGATCCTTTGTGAGCATCACATCACCCCTCCATCCCGGGGAGGAGTCTGCCCAGCAAGAGCACTGTCATGACTTTGAGCCGTTGACCTGTACGTTCTCAGATGCCTTTCTGCCTGTCGATTGTAGGGTGTGGATATTAGGAGCCATAACTTGTGATCTTGTTCTCTGAACGTAGATAAGCTGCTATATAAAGCCAGTAGATGTCAGACTGAAAACAGATTATTCCTGCCTGCCAGAGTCGGGGAGGAAGCTCTTCACTCCGGTGGCGTCTGTCTAGAAACACTCTAGACACATCTTTGTATCAAGGAACTTAAACCCTCAACAACTGTATTTTGAACACTGTTACACAAAAAATGCTTTGTCTTCAAGTCTTCTTTTGTGACAGGTGAGCTCAGACGGACTCTAGGCCCATTTTGCAAGCAGCCTGCCTTCCGCCTCTGGCTGTGCTTTGGCACTGCGGCTTTGTCGCTGTTACCCTCTCCCTTGACGGTCAGCTCTGGGTTTGCTGCACACTCTACACGGGCTCTGGGCCCCTTGAGGGCAGGCCTTTGTTTTTAGGGCCAGACCATCAGGAATTTGGACAATTTCCAAGAGTGGTCTGTCTGTCAAAGCAAATGCCCTTTTGTAGAGTAAAGGGCAAAAATCAGGGATGGGTCATTTACTAAGTTAGTATTTCTTTAATCATAATTGCTTTAAACCAAGCCACTTGGATCCTGAATAATTTAAACCTTGAGCTACAGTGGTAAATAATAAATCATATGAGCCCAGGAATTCATACAGCTTCATGGAGTCAGTCTAGAGCTTTATTTAAATATAAATAAATCACTGCCAGGGCTTCATTCTTCCCACGATCCTTTGGAAGTGGATGCTCACTCTGGAATCCCTGTCTTGTGGCACCCAGCCCCGAGAGCTCCTTAGCTCTTTGATACACCAGTCCTTAAAATTAATTTCTGGAGTTTTGTTTGGATACTAGGGACTGAACCCAGGGACACTTTACCACTGAGCCACACTCCCAGCCCTTTTTATTTTTTGAGACAGGGTCTCGCTAAGTTGCTTAGGGCCTCGCTAAGTTGCTGAGGCTGGCTTTGAATTTGTGATCCTCCTGCCTTCGCCTCTGGAGCCACTGGGATCACAGGTGCGCTGTGCCCTGCCGTTGTCTGGATTTTTTATGGCCTGTTGCTCATGTGAACAGTGCTTTGTTCCATTGGCAGGCTTTTGTTTTTAATGTCTGGTACTAATGGAAAACCAAAAACTCCCCCCGATTTTTCCCCCCTTTTTGTACCATTAAAATGAAGAGAACCTACAGACCACTGCACTTTCCATTTGCACTAGGAAAGGAAAATGGTGATTGGAGTTGACAATAATCCCGGCAAATATTTCAGTCCAAAAATTCTGCAGCTCTGTCAGGGGCTGATAGATGTGTTCCACGAGGACGCTAGGGAGCTTTTTAGATTGAATTTTATCCTTAACCATGCAAGCCTTTCCTTCTGAATGTTATTTCCATGAGTTTTATTTTGTGTCAAATGTATGAGCCGTTGTCACACTCAGCCAGTGCCACCACTTCTCATTCTGATGTACGTAATCACCGAACCCAGTTGGGGTGTAACTCTCTAGTCTTCAAATATCAACGCTGATGTTCTCAGAGGTTCTCAGAGGTGGGTATTTCTGGTCTGTACAGACTGTGCATCATGTTTAGCAGAGGAATGAGAACTAGCCTGAAGTGAGTCTTTGTAGAATACTCTCCCATCTCAGAAATACTTGTTTATCGCTCAGGTATTTGTCTAACACTGATGTCCTTGGCCCTTCCTCTCCACCAGCAGGACTGCCCCGCCTGGGAGGCATCCTGGTCTCCCAGGAGAGCTGGGTTGTGGTTTTCAAATAGGTGGAACTCCTCCTGATTCACATCCTCTTCTGCTCTAGCCTGTTACTTATTATCATCCTAATCAGTTTGCAGCTGCCATTAGTGCTTAAGAGTTCCCCTGGTGTAGAAAGACAGGGGAACTATTGTTAAGTGATTTGCTTTGTTTGGGAATAGAAATTGGAAACAAACACCCAGCCTTGTTTTGTTTTGGGTCCCTTTAAAATAGAACTCCTTAAAAGCTGATGCAGGGGCGGGGATACAGCTCAGTAGGTAGAGTGCTTGCATCTAGTGCAGAAGGCCCTGGGTTCAATCCTCAGCACCACACACACACAAAAAAAAAAAAAAAACTACTAAAGCTGATACAGGGCCTGGGGAGTGGCTACACCTGCCTACAACCCTAGCACTGCAAAATAAAGAAACATGCAAAACACTCTTAGCCTCAACTTACATTGTCTCTTGAAAAACACACGCCATATGGCAGCTGCTGACCCTGTTGAGTTTATTCAGAAAGATGATGGTACTTGGGAGACATATCTAAGAAGGTGACTATTTTGCACTTTTGATACCCTTAGGAACGAATAACTTATTTGGCAAATTGTGTCTTTTTTATGTTTTAGGGTTTTTTGTTTGTTGTTTTTTAAGTTTTGTTTTTTGTATTGTGAACAGGCACTGAAGCTGATATTGTTTTAAGAATATTACAGACTGGAAACAAATAAACTATTTTAATGTGTGATGACTGTGGGTAGCTCTTGAACTGCAAGATGATCATCTTGAAGTTTCTCTCAGCAACGCTTGGGATCAGCACAGCCCAGCTGCAGATTTCAGGAACTGCTGGCCAGAAGAGCGTGTTGCCTTAAAGTAAATAATGCAAAATTGAGTCTCCTAGAGAGTGGATTAGAAGGTTCATCAAGGGCTCAGCTGATGTTATCTGGGCTTCTGGGGACATTTCTTTATTAGGAACTGCATGTTGTTTTTCTTCAAAGATCATTTATGTTTTCAGTGATCCTAAAACCAAGATGCGGGGCTGGGAATGTGGCTCAGTGATGGCATGAGTGAGGCCCTGAGTTCAATCACAGCACCGCAAATAAATAAATAAACCAAGATGCAGCTCTGAGCTCCTCAAAGGAGCTCTATCTTAAAGGAAGATAGTATTGAAATGTGGAGTCTTTGTGCACTATCCTTTCATAATTTTTTTTTATTCCTTCATCCCATTTTTAGATGACCTTGAGTGAAATTCTCCCTCCACTTCCTCTCCTCCTCCATCTTTCATCAAAGAAAAAAAAAAATCTGAGCAGTGTCAAGTGCCTCAGTTTTTAAAGTCAATTGAAACCCTTAGAAATGTGTTTGGGTTAGAATTCTGAATGTCCTTGTTCTATAGCCACCAACGACCCTGAGCAGCAAGCTGTCCTGGCCTACCCTCTTCAGTACTGCTCGCTAGTAAGCTCCTGAGGAGTGGTCGGCAGTGCATCCATTTTGTCTAAAAGAGACAAGGTTCAGGCAGTTGCCACTTTAGGGAGAACACACAGCATCTCAAACAGCAGGTTAGCCGCCAGGAGGGCTGTATTCCCTAGGACAAAATAAGAAGAGTGAGACCCGGGTGAGTGGAGCACATGGCCGCCCTCCCTGCTGCCCATCCCCCAACTCCCACCCTGGGGGTGCCCCCCTGGCGCTCTGCCCTCCTCAAGCAACAAGTAGAAATAGTATTTGAAAATTCAGAAGCTTCTTGGTTTACACTTAGATCTTTTTCCCCAAAAGGAAATTTTATAATAATGGCATGTACTATATTATATTTATCCTCTGAGGCTAACAGGCCTAACTTTATGAGCTTTTCTAAATCAAAATTATTGGCCTGGGGGTGTAGCTCAGTGGCACAGCACATGCCTGTGCATACAAGGGCCTGAGTTTAGTCCCCAGCGCCAAAAGAAAAAACAAAAATAAATTAAAATTATTAGGACAGCACCTGCTTGGAAGATCTTAACCAGCCAACGCCCCACTGTGTGTAAACATTATGCTTTGAGAACTTACTTAGAGCTCGTTGGTAGAGGGCTTGCCTCACATGCATAAGGCCCTGGGTTCAATCCCCAGCACCACAAAAAAAAAAAAAAAAAATTTAGGGTTGGGGATGTGGCCTGTGGCTCAGTGATAGAGCATTTGCCTGGCATGTATGAGGCCCTGGGTTTGATTCTCAGCGCCACAAAAAAAAAGTGAAGTATCAGAGGAGGACAAATCATGGCACCCATCTCCTCCTGATATGGGCAAGCTATTAATACCTGGCACCTCCAGAGTTTTATCGGGGTTGCTGCTCATATTTATAGAGGCTTATTTTCTCCCCTGTCAGACATACTCAGCAGGTTCCCCAGGCTGGAGGTGGTGGTGCACACCTCTAACCTCAGCTACCCGAGAGGCTAAGGCAGAAGGTTCACAGGTCCAAGGCCAGCCTGGGCGATTTAATGAGACCCTGACTCCAAAAAAGGCAGGGAGGTGCCCCACTGATAGAGAACAAGGACTTTGGGGTACTTCCCCCAACTTCACCCTCTTTCAGCAAGAAGCAGCTTGGAGACGTAGTCGCCCATTTTTCCATAGAAATGCAATGTAGAAACTGGCAATGCGGAGATGCCACAGTGGGCCATCTAATGCTCTGAATACAGCCCTTGCTGCTCTGCCACTGCAACTTGATTTTTTAAATGGATGTGGTTCTCTTCCCCTCGCTGCTCCTCCCTAATCTCAGGGGAAAAGAGATTGCCTTTCTTCCCCATTTTAGGCACAATTTTCTGTCCCTGAGTACACACCCACCATAGGAAGGAAGTAATCTAGGCTTTGGGGCTGGTACCAGAAGATCTCAGAAATGACTACCTCCCAAGTCAACAAGTGGATTACAACTCAACAGACCAGTGGACTGTAGCCTTAGAGTCACCTTAAACCCTCCCATCCACCCCCTCCCCATTTCCTGTTGATGGGCAGAATCAGCCTCTGGGACAGAAGTCTCCTGTGTTTCTCCTTTGCTAGCAAAGTAGTAAATCTTCTTTTTCTTTTTCTCAAAAAAAAAAAAAAAAAAAAAAATAGGGCCGGGGGTGGGGTGTTGAGGAAATGCAGCTCTTTGGTGGAACACCCCTGGGTTCAATCCTCCATGCCAAAGAAAACGTGAACCAGCAGCTGCCCACAGGTCAGTTTTCCTGCTTACTCACCAGAGAGATCGTACAGCGGGGAAACCTCCACAAGATCACAGCCCACCACGTTTAGGCCCTGACAGCCCCGGATGACCTCCAGAGCCTGTCCAAGATGAGAACCATACTAGTAAGTTGTCATTACTGGAATCATTAACGAAGAAAAATGACCAGTGGAGAAGATTCCGTGGGTTGCTCCGGGCACATGCCCATCCTTAGAATTCCTGCAGCCACACCGGTGGCCTCCCAGAGGCATGAATAACTAGTGCCCGGTCCCTGCTCCTGAGCACTTCACTGATGATGAGACAGGCCAATCTGTTCAATGTCGTGTATGAAAGGGCTTTAAGAAAAGCAAGCCCAGAATAGAAAAAGCACAAGTAACAGCCTGGAGAGGAGAGGAGGAGGAAGGCTTCCAAAATGTGGAAACATTTCAAGGCCTTGGCTAAGCTCAAGTGGAAAAGAAGGACATCCCAGGCCCAGGGAAAGAAGGGGTAGACACCGTGATGGGAGGAGCCCAGGTAGTGAGGTGTGGTCTGAAGACAGGACAAAGGAGGGCAGGTAGGAAGATGGCGTGGAAAGGGTTTCCATCCTGCAGGCAGGAAGCCCAGAAGGAGGATCTGCAGAGGGTGAGGATTTTGTTTCAGAAATCCTTCCAATTTCTGAATTCTAAGGGCACCGCAGCCAGGGTACAGTGCTGCACGTCTGTAATCCCTGCTACTGGGGAGGCTGAGACAGGAGGCTGGCAATTTCAAGGCCAGCCTGGTCAACTTGGTGAGGACCTGTCTCAAAAAATAAAAAGGACTGGGATGTAGCTCAGTGGTAGAGCACCCCTGGATTCAAGTCCAGTTCCATGAAATCCTCTCCTGATACTAAAGACTACAAGTCCTAGAAGAGTGGGGTGTCAAGTTTCCCCTGGCCCAGGACTCTTCCTGGGGAAGGCTCCTTACCTGACTAGGGGTGAGACCAGCAATTTCAGGCGTCCCTGTCCCCGGGGCATAGGCAGGATCCAAGGCGTCAATATCAAAGCTGATGTAAAGGGGTTTGCCTCCCATCTGCTGCCGGACCTCCGCCATCAGAGGGACCAGCGACTTCATCCAGCAGTCTTCAGCCAGGACCACACGGAAGCCCTGAGGAGGGGGCAATGGAAGAGCTGGAGGTCAAGGCCAGCTCCTTGCTCAGTTCTTCATGGGCACATCACATCCGACCCTCAGCCTCCACGGGGAGGAACTGCTGTCCCCGGCTCACAGGTAAGGGGAGGGAGCAGGGTCAAAGCTAAGCACTGAACAGGGAGCAGAGGGAAGCTTTGCTAAGGCAAGAGACGGAACCTGGGCTGCCCACAAGAGCCCCTTCTGGATGGTTCTGTCCAGAACACTGCCTTGGCAAGCCCCAACAGCAAGGGAGATGTCTTCCCACTTGGATCTTTATCCTGTGTTGACCCCAGAGCCACTCTACCAAGTGGTAAGGATGAGAACTCAAAAGGAAGCAACCTGCCTTGTGTTGGGACCCCCACCTCTTTTCTGAGAGGTTGGTTGTTTCTTTTGGCCTCCCCAGCCCCCAAACAGGCCTCCTCTGCCTTACTGGCACCCTCACTCCTCTTTGCCACATGACCCTCTTGAAGGAAAATCAGCCCTTTGACCCTACCTTGAACTTGATTAGCAAAGCCCTGGCCACATGATAGGCAACGGAGAGGAGTTGGGGGGCATTCAGTCTGTCACCTGGTTCCTGTTGTATCTGTAGGGATCCAGGGTCATGGAAGAGCCCCGGATGCCAATCTGCACCACCCGCTGACAGTCCAGGAGGCCCTCCTCCACGCACCGCCGGAAGGGTGTCCCATGGTAGAGCTTCTCCCCCAGGGCCTTGTCGGCTGTGTCCAGGTGGGCGTCCACATGCAGCAGCCCCACAGGGCCATACCTGAGGACACCAGGACAGTTAGAGGCCAAACATCCCTGTGGGGCCCAAGCACAGCCACCCTTCAGGTCGCCAAAACTTGATGACAGTTCAGAGTCACAGAGGAGAGACTTGGCCTCAACTACCCACGTGCCAACTGGTTTGTGTCTTCAAATCACTTAGCATCTCAGAGCAGCGGTAAACAGAGAGCAGCCAGGCAGAAAGAGACATGTAATTAGGCTACCACCCAGGGTCTCCCATCCAGGACTGCTGCACCTTCAGAGGGCTGGAGGGCTGGACAGGGTGGCAGTTGTAATTCCAGCAACTCCAGAGGCTGGGCGGGAGGAATGCAAGTTCAAGGCCAACCTTGGCCACTTAGCAAGACCCTAAGAAAGTTAGCAAGGCCTGACTCAAAATGAAAAAGTAAAAGGGCTGGGGGTGTGGCTCAGTAGTAAAGCACCCTGGATTCAACCTCCACAACCAAAATTAAATGAATAAATGGATAAATAAAAGAGGCCGGGAGGACGGGAGAGAGCTCAGCTAAAGGCCAGACCAAGCAGCCACGGCGATTCCGACTGCGGAACCAACAGGGAACTGTGAGCCGGCTCTTCTCCAGAACCACCAGCAACCCTGAGGACTCCCCACGGGGACATGTGGTCCCCGCCAGTGGGAGGCAGGCGCGGCTTGGAGACAGGATCTGTCTCCATGTACCTCCAGCCGCAAAGCTGCCCATACGCCCTTCCCAAAAACTAATTCTGGAGCTGCCACCCACTGCCTCAGCCCTCTGTTTCCTCCTCCAACTAAATTAGCCAAAGCTGGTCAGTCCCTGGTTGACTTCATCCCTGAAAAGACACTGCCTGTCAGGGCTGGGGCTGTAGCTCAGTGGTAAAGCACTTGCCTCACATGTACGAGGCACTGGGTTCGATCCTCAGCACCACATAAAAACAAATAAAGACACTGTGTGTTCATCGACACTGCCTGGGAAAGGGGCCCTGGCACGAGAAAACAGGGGCCCTTCACTGCTGTGCCCGTCACAATTTGGATTCAGCCCTTGAAGCGAAACAGAAACCAAAGTGAACTGGGGTTGTGTATTTCACGAGGGGCTCACCTTCCCCAACAGGCCAGTGGAGAGGGCTGGGTGCGTACCAGAGCAGGTCTGGGCCAAGGGAAGGGCCAGAGACTGACAGACACACCTGGAGCTCAGCCTTAATTTTTTAAAAATTTTTTTAGTTGTAGATACCTTTATTTGATTTACTTATTTTATGTGGTGCTGAGGATCAAAGCCAATGCCTCACACGAGCTAGGTGAGCGCTCCGCCACTGAGCTACAGCCCCAGCCCCTCAGCCTTAACTTTGATCTCAAAAAGCAAGTTGGTTGGGATTTTCCTGTCACTCCCAATAACCTGAGTCCACAGCAGTCACCCAATACCACCTGGCAGCAAACCGCTGCTCCTTAGCTCCTGAATCTTGAAACCTCACTTGGCCAAGCCATTTGGGACTTACTTTTTTGCCAATGCTTGCAATATGGGATACGTGATTGTGTGATCTCCACCTGCAAAGCATAAAATAGAGAAACATCTGGAACATGAGTAAGATGATCATGTGCAACAACCCCGAGTTTGCCAATTCTGCCTCCCTTTCAGCTGGACTAGAGGTTTAAAAACACAGCCAAAGAGCGATCTTGGTCAGTAGAGGGATGCTTAAGATGTCATGTCACTGAAAAGAGAAAATTAGATGAATCTATGAATTGAATTGCTTACAAGTAATTCCCTAGAACAACTCTGTCCAAGAGAACTTTCTGGGATGATGGAAATGTTCTGTCTGCGCTAGCCAATATGGTGGCTGAGGAACTGCATATTTTAATTAGTTTAAACTTAACATGTAGCTAATGGCTACCCTTTTGAGCAGTGCAGGCCTAGGAAAGTATTACTATTGATAATTATTAATAATCAATAGTTAACGTTTATTTAAGCCTAAAATAGGCCAGGCACAATGATGGGCAGTTTGTGTGTTCATTTGTGGTGGCAGAAATCAAGCCTACACCCTCTCACATGCCAGGCAAGTGCTCTACTACTGAGCCACATCCCCTAGCCCCTTTCATTTTGAGACAGAATCTCACTAAGTCACTTAGGGCCTCACTACATTGCTGAGGCTGTCTTCAAGGTGCAATCATCCTGCCTCAGCCTCTTGAGTCGCTGGGACTACAGGTGTGCCCCATCATGCCCAGCTAGGATGGGCATCTTGTATGCCCATTCATTATATGCTTCTTCCACAATACAATGGGTAGGCATTATTACTATGCCCATTTCACAACGAGGAAATGAGGCACCAAGCAGTGGATACAGTAACACAGCTAGTGAAAGGTAGAGCTGAGATTTCAAACCTTCCACCTAGAAGCCAAGGTCCCTACCACCATGCTGTGCAGACTAGGACCTCTCATTTGGCAAAAATAAATTGGAATATTTAGAAAAAGTTCTGGGTCATTTTAACTATTTACAAAACAGAGAAGAGAGAAATAAGAAAGTGAGAGTGGAGGAGGGTGAAGGGAAAGTTACCCTACGGGTTGATTAGGATCCTGACCAGGACAGACACCCTTTGCAGCTCTCCCCACAGTCATGATGAACATTGTCTTTGAAATCCTTGGAAAGTCACAGGGAGTCCCTACTGGCAGCCTTCCCCGGGCCTGGGATGGTGAGACACATACTGGGGTATAACATTTAAAGGAAGCCATAGCACTTAGTAAAAGAGCGACCCTATTTTAACACAGATTTTTGTTTGTTTGTTTGCTTGTTTATTTTTGTACTGAGGATTGAAACCAGGAGTGCTCCACCACTGAGCTATACCTCCAGTCTTTTTTACTTTTAATTTTGAGACAGCGTCTCACTAAGTTACTGAAGCCGGCTTCCAACTTGTAATCCTCCTGCCTCAGCCTCCCAAGTTGTTGGGATTATAAATGTGCACTATTATGCCAAGCTTAACACAGTATTGTTGAAGATCAAAATCAATGCAGGGCTGCAGAGATAGCTCAGTGGTAGAACTCTCACTAGCCAAGCATTGACAAGGCCCTTGGTTCCACCCCTAACCTTACAATAGATTTAAAAAAAAAATCTGTGATGACCAAAAAATAAAAATAAAGACAAGATCAGTAACCATGCTGTTCCAGCCATGCTGGAGCCAAAGGCAAAAAAGAAAAATTGGTAATATTTATCCTGCCATATTGATTTTGATTGCTGATTTTTTTTTTTTTTTTTTTTTTTTTTTTTTTCATCCTTTAAATTATACACCAAAGCAAAGGCCTCATCCACCTTCCCCTAGTCCACCAGCCCTACCGGCCACACTACTCCAATATTTTACATATCCTGTCCCCAGGGACTAAAATAAAGGAATTAGAGTGTTCTCTTTCCTACTGTTACCATCTTCTGCAGAAGTAGCAGTACTCAAGCGAATGACAAATGAGCCCAGAGAACTCCCCTCACCCTAGCAGACATTACCCAAGGTCAGAGGAACACAACCAGCTGCTACTATTTTCTGATAGGCTTCTTGAATTAGCCGGCAGCTGTCCTGAAGGTTGTAAAGATTGACATTCACATCGCCCAGGTCAGCTACTGTGAGGGACTGGAAGGGCAGGGCCCCTGTGCTAGGATTGACTGTCCGGAGCATCACAGATTCTTCCCGGATGCGTCGGGGTCCGAATCTGGAGGAAAAGAATCACCTGTCAGCCCCATGCCCAGGTGCGAAGGCTCTCTCTGCTAGGCCAGGCTTTAACAGCTCGGGTCTGCTGACATTCAAGTAGTCTCTTCTGCGGGTTTTTGCCTTGCAGGATGTTTAACAGCTTCTCTGGCCTGTACCCACTAGATGTCAGTAGCACTTTCTCCCCCAAGTTGTGACAAGCAAAATACTTCTAGGCATTGCCAGATGTCCCCTGGGTGCAAACCCACCCCTACTGAGAACCACTGATCATATATATATATATATATAATTTTTTTTTCTTCTTTTTGCGGCGCTGGGAACAAACACAGGGTCTTGTGCATGCTAAGTAAGCTGTCTACCTCCCAGCCCTAGTTTGTATATTAAAGAAATTAAAGGCACAAATTTGCTGGGCATGGCGGCGCAACCTATAAGCTCATCAATTTGGTGAGGCTGAGATAGGAGGATTACAAATTCTAGATCAGCCTAGGCAATCAAACAAGACCCTGCCTCAAAAAAATGGGGCTGGGGGGCTGGGGATATAGCTCAGTGGTAGAGCATCTCTGGGTCCAATTCCCAGTTCTGCAAATAAATAAAAACACAGAGTTAGGGGCCCACTCATCACCACTTATTAAATGACATTAGATAATATTTTAATCTCCCCAAGACTCAGTTTCCAAATCCATATGATAATAATGGTATTTACTTCACATCCTTGTTCTAAGAAATTAGGTAATCTATGCAAAGTGCCTTACATTTGCCAGGGACTAGAAGGGAGTTCTCCTTCAAAGAATAGCCTGACAGTCCCAGGGACTAGAAGGGAGTTCTCCTTCAAAGAATAGCCTGACAGTTACAAGAAACAGCCCCCTGGGAGACATCTTGCCTGGGAGACACCCTGCAGCCATCCATCTCCCTGAGACATCCTGCGGCCATCTGTCTTCCTGAAACATCCTGCGTTATCTCACCTTGTGAAGACATCCAGCAACTGCCGTTAAGAGAGCTCCCCCATTCCCAGCCCATAAATACCCCTGTGTGAACAATAAAAGTTTGCAGCTTGATCAGAACTCCTGTCTTGCTGTCACCTTTCGTGTCTCTTGTCCCTTCATTCCTCCCCATCTAGGTTCGCTGCCCACGTTGATGTGTCCTGCCGGTGGGGACATACATTTAAATAATAAATGGTGGCTTTGGAGCTGGGCCTATGGGCCACACCTGTAATCCCAGTGACCCAGGAAAATAAGGCAGAAGGATCACAAGTTCAAAACCAGTCTTGGCAATTTAGCAAGACTGTCTCAAAAAAACAAACAATTAAGGGCTGGGGATGTAACTCAGTGGTAAAGTGCCCCTGGATTCAATCCCCAGTACCTACAAAAATAAATAAAATAAGGCTTTGACCATTCAGACAGTTACAATCAGATTCGAAGAGCTGAATTAGAAATTGCTGATGCTCAATAATTAGGAAAAGGAGTTTTACTTTCTCTAATTTAATCCTGAGAAAATTTCCTTAATTCGAGCTTCTTTGCTTCCCGGCCACCCCCAGTCAGTTATACTTAGAGATTTGGGGAAGGGGCAGCCAGTTTCTGTTCTCAAACAAAATGTCACCTTCCACTGTAAGGCCGGGTGGAGAGAGCAGAGAAGGTACCCACATCCTCCATCCCAGCAAGGTCCAAGGAGGGGGCTCCAGAAACCCTTCCTGACCAATGATGACACGAGAGGACCAGCCCTCCAGTCACGTGTTGAGCCCTGGACGGCTTGTGGAGGAAGGAGGGGAATCAAAGGTCTCTCAAACCATTTTGGAGCCGGCCACCAGCTTCCAACCTACCCAGGGTGAGCGGAAGTGTCTGTCCGCGCGCCTTCCACGCTCCATAATCAGTCCCAGCCACACGTCCCAACCCCGACGCCGGGGACCTTACCTCGCACCGGGCCGGTTGGAGGTCCCAATGTCCAGGGGCACCCCAATGAAGGCAGCGTCCAGCCCCTCCGGGGACGTCTGCACGGGCAGGCGCATCATGGAGCAGATGCCCACCGACCGGGCCACCAACTCGGGGCTGGGCGGGTGGTTCCGGGGCATGTCGGAGGCTCGGCGGCTCTGGCTGCGCCCCGGGAGGCAGAGCCCGGTGGCAGGACGCGCAGGCACGCTGGACCCCAGGCCCCGGGTGCAGCGGGTCGCCAGCAGACGCAGCATGTCGCCCGCCCGCTTCCGAGCCCGCGAGGCCACCGGACCAGAGTGCCCCCGAAGGGTCCCACTAGCCCGCAAGGCGAGAGTGCCAGCCCGGAGGGAGCCGCAGGGCTCAAAAGACAGGGCGCCCTGCGGATCAAAGGCGGGGGAGGGCTCGGGACCAGCGTCTCTGCCCCCAGCGCAGGCTGAACTTCAGCCTCTGGCTCCGTCGGTAAACAGCCAGCAGGGCTCCCAGCTCCTGCCACCGTTCCTGCCCCAACTGCGCCCTGCGTCCCCCCCGCACCTGGCCTCTGGCAGGCTCTTCTCCCATTCGGAGTATTATTTTTAAAGCCCAAAAGGTTTGAAGGAAAAGAGATCTTTCATTAAGCAATGGAAATGGAAATGCATTTTTTAAACAATAATGTATCAAGACATGTCTGAGCTGGTTGCTTTGGCGCTCACGTGTAATCCCAGCGACAGGGGAGGTCAAGGCAGGAAGATCCAAGTTCGAGGCCAGCCTCAGCAACTTAGCAAAACCCTGTCTGAAAAAATAAAGAAATAAATAAAAAAGGCTGGGGATGTGGCTCAGTGGTAGAATACACCTGGGTTCAATCCCCAGTACAGGCAAAAAAAAAAAAAAAAAAAGGAATTCTCAGGAAGCAGTCTAATCTTTACTTTTTATTTTTTTATTTTTTACTGGGGATTGCACACAGGGACACTGTATTATTAAGCTACAACCCCAGGCCATTATATATTTTTAGTTTTTGAGAATGGTCCTGCTAATTTGCTGAGGCTGGCCTCAAACTTGTGATTGGAGTTGCTGGGATTACAGGTGTGTGCCACTATGCCTGGCTAACTATTTGGGGGGGCAAGGGGGTGTGGTTATTGGGGATTGAACTCAAGGACACTAGACCACTGAGCCACATCCCCAGCCCTATTCTGTATTTTATTTAGAGACAGAGTCTCACTGAGTTGCTTAGTGCCTCCCTTTTTGCTGAGGCTGGTGTTGAACTTTCTTTTCTTCTGCCTCAGCCTCCGGGGCCCCATTGGGATTACAGGCAGGGTAGTGCCCAGCTAATTTTTTTTTTTTTTTTTTTTTTGGTACCAAAATTGACTGTGATGGAATTATGTGAACCATTCAGTGGTTTTATTTTTTTCATCTCTGACATTGGATGGTCCAAGTTTGAATTAAATTGTAACCTCTATACAAAGATGACACATTGAACCCCACATCACCCCAGCCTCCACTCTGCAGGACCAGGACAAAGTTCTGGACAAAGTTCACAGACCACTGAACCGCATCCACAGCCCTATTTTGTATTTTTAAAATATGTTTTATTTTTATGTGGTGCTGAGGATTGAACCCAGTGCTCGGCAAGCACTCTGCCACTGAGCCCCAGCCCCAGCCTAGCCAATTTCATATTTTATTTAGAGACAGAATCTCAATGAGTTGCTTAGCGCTTCACTGTGGCTGAGGCTGGCTTTGACCTTGTGATCCTCTTGTCTCAACCTCCCTAGCCACTGGGATTACCAGGCATGTGCCACCGTGCCCAGCCCTAACTTTGTTTTTTAAAACGAGGGCTGAGGGTGTAGCTCAGTGATAAAGCATTTGCCTAGTATTTACAAAATCCTGGGCTTGATCCCCAGTGCCACACACGCATAAATAAATAAATTAATTAATTAATTAAAAGATTTAAAAGGACTTGGGACAGGGCACAGAACCAAAAGTCCACTAATCTGCTATCCTCTTTATTTCTAAGAAGAAAAATACACCAGGGAAGGAAAGGAAAGGAGTGACTGTGATGAATTATGTGACCCATTCAGTGTTTTGTTTTTTTTTTTTTTAATCTCTGACATTGGATGGCCCAAGTTTGAATTAAATTGTAACCTCTATACAAAGATGACACATTGAACCCACATCACCCCAGCCTCCACTCTGCAGGACCAGGACAAAGTTCTCTAGTGGTAAATAATGAGTTCATTGTTGCAAGAGACCTTTTGGCGAGTCCTGACCATTTTCCAGAACAAATTCAACAATTTCTGTTATTGTCAACACTCAGATTCTACTATTTGTTTCATATCATTTGTCCTAAGTGTATCATTTTCTTACTCCTGATTTTTCTTTCCATAAGACAAATAAAAAGAGACACAGAGACGAGATGCAGAGGCAGGAAGAAGAGAAAAAGAGTGGCTGTCCCTCCAAGCAGCCAGGTTTCTTTATATCAAAAGTTCCATAGCTCCTTAGTACCGTGACTACATTATTATTTAGTATTCCTTTAATCCCAGGTGCTAGATAATTGAGACCAAAGTCCGGGCTGTTTAAGACAGCCCCCTTTTCTCTAAGGACATTACCATAGTAACTAGATACTGCACCTGTAGAGTTATCTTACTAGCTTCAAAGAGAAATTGCTGGGCATTCCGAGGGTGGAGGACAGAGCACCTGTTCCCCCCCAGCCCCGGAGTTTGCTCACCAGAGAAACGCTTCCCTGTACATTTCCACGGCCAGAATACCTACAGGTCCCTATATTCCCAGGAGCTGTGTGCCTGAGGTGAAGGTCGAAACTGATAAGACTCCAACACAGAGTTTCCTTGTAAAGTACATTGCTATAGCAGCCAGGCATCCTGTGTCTTTGCACAGAAACTTCCTAGTCACCAAGCAGGCCACAATCAGGCAGTTTACCAGAGACCCCAATCCCAGACACAGATTCTACTATTTCTTTCATATCGTTTGTCCTGAGTGTATCATGTTCTTACTCCTGATAGAGCTATGCAAGTGCTGTACCACTGTACCCTTGGCCAAAAAAAAAAAAAAATTGATATTTTTTTTATCATGTCTAGTGTATTAGTTCATTTTCCCATATCAAAATGCCTGAAGCTGGCTACTTATAAGAAAACTCACACAGTTTTGGAGGCTGAGAGACCAGCTTGGACATACCTGTTGGTTAGCCCTGTGCTGAGGGCTACACAGGGGTTGCTATCGCAATGGTAGAACAAGAAACAGGAAGCCAGTCTTGCTCTTTTATAACAACCTACTCTCTTGGGAACAAACTGGGTCCCATCAGAACTACATTAATCCCTTCTCACGGTGACCCCAAATGACCTAATTACCTCCCAATACACCCCCACCTTTTTGCTGCCACCTCTAACATGGCCACTGGAGACCTTTAGGGATGAACCACATCCAAACCATGCCATTTGGAATACATGCCTATGTTAAAGAAAAAAAAATTCAGTCACACTTGCTAAGGCGTGCGAAGGAAGACTTCACTTAGGATTGTGGAAATGGGTACGGGACTGTTGCAATAGGGTTCTGCAGAGAGGAGACAGAGATCGGGCTCCAGTCAATACAGCATGGTGAGTGGCTATAGCCAAGGAGCGGGTTATGGGGGACAGTCGATGGAGTGACCAAGAGGAAATGCTCTTTACCAAGGGTAAGGAGTGTCCTGGCTCACTCGACCTAGCTGGATGTTTGCTGAAGACAGGCAGGGGGAGAGCAGACTTCACCTGTGGGAATTGATTGGATACTGAGAATGATCAGATATCCACAGTATGGAGTTCTTGCTAAATTGACTTTGTAGGGTTCTTTGCTAAAACTTGATTTTATAAGAAAATACACAAAAAGGCCCAGAAGATGATTCAGAAACCTGAATAAAGTTTGACCAAGCAAAGAATCTGTCACATCCAAGTGTGTCCAAATCCAGCCAGGCACAGTGGCGGACACCTGGTAATCCCAGGGACTCAAGAGGTTAAGGTAATGCCTAGCATGTGTGAGGCCCTGAGTTCAATCCCCAGCACCACCAAAAAAAAAAAAGGCCAAGGCAGGAGGATCATAAGTTTGAGGCTAGCTGGGAAACTTAAGTGAGAGCTTGTCTCAAAGTTATTTATTTGTTTGTTTGTTTATGGTTGTATTGGTACTGGGGATTTGCAGGGTTTCTGTTCTCGACTAAAAGGCTCAGGGGTCACTCCAGTTGAACTGGGCTGACTGGGCTGTGCAAAATAACCACACAAGAGACACAAATACCTTTTTCTTTGGGGTCCCTGTGATGGCTCCTCTGACCTTAAGGGTCCACAGGAAGAGAGAGCGAGAGCTCGCGCTGACCCCTTTTATTGAGGAGAAGCTGTTCAAATGAGGCAAGGGGTTAGGTTTCCGGGGGCTGAGTATCTTCATGATGTCCACTGTCAGCAGGTTGACTGACACCTGGGTAGGCCACACCCAAGGGCACAGTAAGAGAAGGGGACACACACAAGGCACTTCCGTGGAAGATTCTATCCTAAACGTGGCAAGGGGTTATATTACAAAGGAACAGATGAGCGTAGCTCCACCCATGGGGCTGTAGCAAGACACACCCAGGCAAGAAGACAGTCACTAGAACCCTAGAAGAGCAGGCAGTCTAGCAGCATGGGTGCCTGACACCACATCCCCCAGCAGGGGAGTTAACTTAATCACATGTGAGGTTGGTCTCCCACAGGGATTGAACCCAAGGGCACTTTACCACCGAACTTTACCACTTTTCATCCAGTCCTTTTTTATTTTTTGAGATAGGGTCTTGCTAGATTGCCAAGGCTGGCCTTGAACTTGAGGTCTACCTATCTTGGTCTCCATAGTTGCTGGGATTACAGGCATGTGCTACCACACCAGGCTAAAATAAAAATTTTTAAAGAAGGACTGAGGATATAGCTCAGTGATAGAGTGCTTACCTAGCATTCGTGAGTGAGGTCTGGGATTCAAAGCTGTTTATTTTGCCTATAATACATCTCATGGTATAGTTCACAAACTCACATGGGGTTACCTCCAACAATACCATTTTTAATACAGAATGCAGTGTGAGCCGGGTATGGTGGCGCACACCTGCAATCCCAGGGGCTCAAGAGGCTGAGACAAGAGGACCTCGAGTTCAAAGCCAGTCTCAGCAATGGCAAGGAGCTAAGCAACTCAGTGAGACCCTGTCTCTAAATAAAATACAAAAGAGGGATGGGGGTGTGGCTCAGTGGTTGAGTGCCCCTGAATTTAATCCCTGGTACAAAAAAAAAAAAAAAAAAAAAAAGATATATATATGAGAGAGTAGTGAGTAG